GAATGCCTCGCCACTCATTTCAAACACTCTGCCATTTCCTCCTTCAGTCCTGCTAAATCTTTGTGGGTATTGGACAGAACCCATCAAAAATGAGCATTAACCCAAACCAGTCTGTGAATATATTGGGTTCTTGTTTTTCTCTTGCAATCCTGAAGCATCACCAGCAAGTACCATGCACAGACTTCAGCTACACTACTCTGTGCTCCTATAAAAATATTCGTGGATGTTCTGGCTCTGAGGTGAAGGAGCAGGGCTGCATCTTTCCCCTCTCTGATTCAGCTTAGGGGCTCCTGTGACATCTCAGGCCCCTTTCAGCAGATCAGCTCTGCAGTTGGCTCCAAGACTGAGGAGCGTTAAAGCTACAGAATGAGGGAATCTTAAAATGCTGTGCATGCACACAGCTCGATTCACAGGAACCCAGAAACATCTCCACAAAACCAATCCTGGGGATTACGTCACTTGGAATACAGGTCAGAGAGCTGAATCACACAGAAAAAAAACAATCCTGCTGTGTGAAATGGAGACATGCCCCTGTTACCAACATTCTAATTGGATCTGCTTCACCCCAGGGAGTTAGGAAAGAGTTATTAAACCCAGGGTGAAAGCAACTGGTAACTTCTCCGATGAAGGGACCTCATTAGCAGGGCTCAGTCACAGTCCCTCTGTCACACGTGATGGGAGAGGAGTGTCCAGAACAAGTGGTGAGGTCCTAGAGACTGTCCCACAGGAGCCTCCAGTGGAGTTACAGCAGTTTGGCTCAGCTCAGATGCGTCTTTTATTGCTGAATAAAGTGTGCACCCCTCAAAGCCAGGGGAAGAAGTCAGCGCAGAGGGCAGGGAAAAGCTTTAATGTTTGTTGACTTGTGCCTAACTAAAATGGACAGGAGGAGGGCTGGGGATAAAAGAGAACTCTCCCTTTCCCATTAATGAGCTCACTCTGCTGGCACGTCTCCTGCCCTCCAAGATTGCTCCCACAGCATGAATATAAAACCAGCCCCATAGCTACCCGCCGGTGTAAATTACCTACTCCTGATGCAGTTCTTACATGGGTTACTGTCTGTTTCTGTCTCCAAACCAGACAGTTTCTGGCTCTCTCATGCTTTTCAAGTCCCAGCAATAAAGATCTCTACTGGTTCCAATTAACAAGCCAATGAGCTTTGCCACAGTCCTGATTCCGTAAGAACAAACTCATATGATTCACCAACTGGTAGTAAAACACTTCACGTCAGGCAAGGGGGTGCACGTCGCCGTTACCAACTGAACCAGTTGGAAAAACTGCACGAAACAGCTCCCTGCCCTTGACCATCCCTTTTCAAAAAAGCACTCACACCAACAAGGAGCCTGAAGCACCACTGGGAACACGTGTAACAGAGAAACTCCTTTCCTACCCCACGCCTCACTTCACTTCTCCTTCAGCCTGCACGCAAAAGCTGGGAGACGTCAGATCGACAGCTTTGGCACGAGAAATCCTACTGCAAAATCTGCTGCACTGGGCAAGGAACTAAAATGTGGCACAGATCAACATGCTGACACAGCCAGGCCGTGCTGCTGCCCCCACCACTGATCTCCTGACGGCTTTAACTCCTGGGCAAGCTCCTGCAGCCTGCGGCTGCCCCACGCTGCTCTTCTAAATAACCCTCAGCGTGGGACATTTATGGGAACGACCTTGGCTAGTGAACTGTGAACGCACCAGAGTCCTCTGCTACTCAGCAATGCAGGTCCCTCCCCGATTTCACAGCCTGAGAGGGTAGGAAGGAGCACGTGAAATCAAAGTTCACCCGAGGAAGAGTAGTAACAACTGTGGAATTTCTCCTTGGAATGCACAGCTCTTCTCTGCTCCTCCCTGAACTGCTGATGGCAGGGCAGGGCGAAGGGGACCGAGAAGAGCCACAGAAAACGCAACGCAACAAACTCAGAGACTGAGAACACATTTTCAGTAGTTCCATCCATCTTCCCATCGAACCACAACACTTGCTTCTCATTAACATTACCCTCAATTTCTCTTTCAGCCATCGATTTTTGTTACACATTTCTACACTAGTACCAACGAGTCCTTTGCTAGATACCATCACCTTGAAATAAAATTCCCAGCAGAGGAAGAGCTCAAGGATGGATTGTTTGTTACCGTCATGGCCAGAGTTGAGAAGATGCTCTCCCAGGTCACAGCCGAACACCCGTTCCTTCAGGATCCCCCGCTGTTTCAGTTTCTGTTTCGTTGGGCGCGACTTCATGAATGTACGGAGGAAGGTGATGAGCTTGCCGTGTTTTTTTGACACTGCAAAACAAAATAAAAATAAATAAATAAATTTTAGATTTGGTTCAGGCAAGGCCAAGCACAACACATTCCACAGAGCACACAGAACTGTCCTAACAGCAACATCAATTATTTACAGAAATAGATTTTCCAAGGTCCGGTACTAAACAGAGACTTGGCTTTTGTTCTAATTCTTGGCTAGCGCAGAAATATCATGAGAGAGCTGTAAATGGAAGAATTTAACCCAAAGACACATTTATGTGGGAAGCAGCTTCAGGTGGGAGGGCGCTAAGGGACTGGCAGGATGGGCAGCACCTGAGAGCTCCCGTTTCCATCTCTGGAAAAGTGCACACGGCTGAGCTAACACAGCCAGGAATCTCACAAACACAATGTGTTATCTACACGCAGAAATAAATGCTGTGTTACTGGCTCTCATTCTCGTTAGTCTCAGGCACCTCCAGAACAAACGAGTGACTAATACTATCTGAACTCAGAGGACGTTTAGTTCTAAGTGCTGCAGACTGCCCCTCCAGCACACCTGCAATTCCAGTGAACCTACGGAGGTACAGCCCATGCCAGGGCATTACGGGCTCCCCGAGTCTTCCCAAGATAAAAGCATTACTGTCTTTGCTTTATTTAAATAGAAAACTAAAGCAGCCGATGTCAAGAGATGCAGTTTGTGCCCTCCAGAATAAATACAAGAGAGGAGAACGCAGCTCAGGAGCCATCCCTCCAACCCTCCTGCTGTTTCTTTACGTGACGTGCTGGTGAAATCATGGGTCCCTCTGTTACAACCCATCATCCACAGCCGAACGACATGGAGAGTGACACAGGGCAGAAGTGGGTGACACAAATAAACGCATGAAATGGGGAGGAGAGGCTGAGCCCAGGTCTGAATGGGGAGCAGAACAATGCCCTTGAATGTCAACTTTTCTTCCTGAGGCCCCACTCTGAAAGCAAAAGGGCTCTGGCCTCCCTAACAAAAGTGCCATTGTACACATGATTTAAAAGCAGTTTAACTTCACCAGAAGAGCTCTATTGAAAAGAACAAATCACTAGGTATAAAAGGCTGTGCTTTGTGAAGAAGCCTTTACAGCTCCAGGAAGTTGTAAAGGCTCCTGCAGCACCGCAAGGCAACACCAGCCCATCCCTCTCCCCTGCTCCTGCCTCAGATCCCTGAGAGGAAAGACAACCGTGTATTTAACCATATATTTCACCTGCATTAAACCTGTAAGTACTGCCATCAAATTTCAGCAGAGAAACATTGTTTCAAACAAAAAAGAAAAGCAACGAAGACCCCCGGTGACAAAGGTGAGTCTCTTCAGTGCCACTGCTGCTCCCTAACGCGCACAACGTGACATTCTGTGAGCGGCTCTGCAGGTGGGACTCACCCAGAGGAAGCTTTATGCAGTAATGCTTCGTACAGGCAGACAGGGGATTCTTCGACCAGACAACATGAACAACTGTGTCCCAAGAACAAGGTGACACCACACTCTGCTTCACGATGTTTTAATCCCTTTAAACAGTTGAGTATTTTCCTTTCTATTTTACCAGGTACTGATGCAGCCCCTCTGTTTATAATAAACCCGATTCCAATGACCTTAACATGTTTCTGTCTATGTGGGGAGAGCAGAGTTCTGCTTCTGGATAAAATCCCTTTTAGCAGAGTGACACTACACTGATCTACAGCAGCCAAATACCTGAAATCCTAAAATCTCCAACAGACCCCGTGTCTGTGTTCTCAACAATCAAACCCCAAGCACTGAACAAACCGCAGAAGCGTTGAGCGTGACAGACTGTGGCTGTGGGGGCTTTAATTAAAAGGATGTTTTCAGTTTGACGGGGTTTTGTAATTACACACAATAAATGAACAGATTGCGCTGACATGCCAAACAAAGTTAGGATAGATTTTGGTTGTATCCATCATCACAAGTAAAGCAAGAGCTCATTCATCATCTCCTATCAGCCCCCCTCAAGGACACAGAGTCTCATCCTGACCTGCGTGGAATTTCCAGGGGTTAGCACCCTGCAGCTCCTGGGATAACGCTACTGGAGGTGATAAACCTCAGACAGATGCTTTTACAACAGCCAAATAAACAGACAAATAAAGCAATTACCAACACATATGTATTAATTTGAATAATTTCACAGACTCCTGTTATAGTTCTTCGTGAAGTATCTTGCTTGACTTAATAACAAATGAGCCCATTGGATAAAGGATTTAAAATGGAGAAAAAAAATCACCCAACTCCAGTACTGCTCAATTTCTACTCATGCTGGTGACCAGGTCAGCAAGTGACCTTTGGGTGTCACCTCAGGCATTAAAAACAAACAAATAAAAGTGCAATGGATACACTTCCAGGATCCAAGGATGTAATTTGTTTGGTATCGATAGACGTTTACATCACTAACCAGAAAGGGGACCCGAGTTTTTAAAACACAATCAATCTGTTCTGCCTTTAAGCCACTCAGTACAGGTTAAAATAATTGTCTTGTTTTCTGCATCATTAAGTTGACTCCTACAAAGGCACCCAACGCTCCCAGACACTGGCAGGGCAATGCCCCAGCAGGTTAAGGAACCAGAAATTCACTCACCGGCCCTTGAAAGCCTTGCAGGTTCCTTGGTTAAACACAGTTTCCCTTCTCTCAATCGCTGCCTACTCTGTCAGAGAGTTTCTGAGGCTAAACTGTCTTATACCTACGCACGAATGATTCACTGATGGGAGCTGGGCTTCTCCTGGGCCGAGAAGAGAAAACAGTGAGAAAATCCAAGCAGTCATCTCTTTGCTGACAGGTTATAAAAAAGAACAAAAAAGCAAGTAGGTGTCTGATCAGGATAAGGGATCCTTGTGAACTGGGAGAGCTCGGGGGGCTGTCAGCTGTGCTGTTTTTCTGCCAACAGCAGTAAATGGTGAAATATTTCTATCCTGTTTCCAAGTCCTCTGGCATCATTTGACCCTCAAAGCAGCAATGCATCCTAAGAGAGATTTAATTTCTGATGCATTTTGGTTTAGATGTGTCTAGCACAGGAGTGCCAGTTTCTAGTAAGCACCAATGCCAAGGTTGATACCAAGAATCCTGCAGAATAAATGTTTTTTGCTCCAAAACTCTGGTCCCAAAAACTTTGACTGTCCCACTGGTGACAGCACCAGCACCAGCACGCAGAGCTCTCCAAATTTAGGTCCTGTGCTCCTACACTCATTTGCCCATCTTGAAAAAACCCAGAATTAGTGAATGGCAAGGAAATGAGGGAATCAAGGCCCAGAAACAAATTATTACAAACTAAGAAGTGAATGAACTAATTAGCCCTTTTCTGCCTTTATCTTCCCATCAATAACGTGAGGATACAGGATAAACCTGAACCATTCACAGTCTGTGCCTCCATGTGAGGTGGTCAGGATGACAAGTGACACAGAAATAAATTCAGACAATAAAGCAGCATTTCTACCAGACAATTTTGCAGGGTTGCTACAGCCAGAGCTGCTGCTGAATTACCAACTGAAAGGCAAACTAAACAAAACCCCTAAACGTTTATCCAAATCACTTTCCACCTCAGATTTAACCACTATAAAACAAATTGTTTACCAAAAAACAGAGGATTTCCTAGAAGGAGCAGGGGCTAATTGTCCTCAGAAAGGCAGGTTTGGCTCAATATCCTGCCCTGAGCAAGCAGAGACAAATTGTCCATGGAGCAGAGTGAGAGTGGCTGCAAAAAAAACCCCAAACAAAATCCAAAGGAAAAAAAAACCCCAAACAAAATCCAAAGAAAAAAAATCCCAAACAAAATCCAAAGGAAAAAAAAAGCCCACCTGAGGCTGGACTATTTGTGAAGTTTTGCTGGCACGAATGTGTCAATTAGGAGTGAGAAAAAAATATCACACCCTTAGCTGACATAACCACGCTGGCCAAAGCCTCCATAGGGTGGGAAGGGAGGGAAGAGCAAGGAATACTCGTGCCAGGTAGTTTATTGTGGTTTTGGGAAACTGCCATACTCTGTACCTCCCCGAGGAACATTTATCCATCAAACCGCGCCGCTGTTGCCATACCACCGAGCTTTTGTAGCATAAGAGAGGCCTGAAATTCCCCCGACGTTGATAAAAACTATTAAATAACAATTACTTCATTAAAAGCAGGGCTTGTTCAGCCTAATGCTGCAGACTGAAAAGGCCCTTCAGGATATACTTTAACGCAGCTTGTTTGCTGAGAAATGTGCCCGCCGATTCAAAGTGGTTTCATGGCTCTTGTTCAGCACAATATGGTTTTGCTGAGTTACTTCAGGAACCCACTCGAAAGCTCATGGGAAGCTCTTAGGAAATGCTGAGGACTCGTGTGTCTTCTCCAACCTGCTGCCCTCACGTGCCATCGTGGCTCTCCTGTTGTGTTATTAAAAATAATCTGCCAGGTTTGATGCTTTTAGAGCAGAGGAGCAGTTGTGGCAGTTCCAGTGAGGGGGTGGTGGAGCAAAGGGCGGGAAATGGGTCCTTCTTACGCTGAGCAACCTGCCAAAGCCAACACGCTGCAAAACTGCACCCTCAGCCTGCTGAAAGCATCTGAATTCGCTCCCCGAGCGGCAGCTTCTCACCCCTCCTCTGCCCGTATGGATTTGACAGGGATGCAGTTAGTCTGGGTTAGAACACAGTCCAACATCACATGTCTTGGCCCAAACTGCCCAAGTTATCACATCTGGGCCGTAAAACTCTTCCTGAGACCACTTCTACAATGTACTGTTTAATTACAATTGCCCAAAGTGTTGGCAACAAAGGGAAAGGGTAGGATGGAAAAGAGCACTGGCTCCTGCCTCCCTGGCTTTGAACCACAGTGACCCAACAGCAGAGTCTTTAATAAACAGCCTGTTATTTTGTGCACGCATTTTCCTTCCCTTTTCAGTAAGAAACACCCCAGGATGCAAAGGCTCCAAGAACAAAATACAATATCATCAACACATCGAGACTCTTGCAGCTCCTGGACAGCATCTCCCATCTTACACATCAAAGACCAGGGGAAACAACCAACAGAAAAGTAAATGGAGCAGATTCGAGTCGTGCACTGAAAAGGCAAGTGCTTGCTCAGCCGATGTCCGGGCGGACGGTGACCCAGCGTCCGGGATAACAACGGCAGTTCCTGTAGAACATCCTCACAAACCCAGCGCTTGTCCCCCTGCAGCCCCACTGCACTTTGGCCAAGGGAAAAACAAGCTCACGTTAAAAAAAATAAAGCACATCTGCTTTATCTCCTGCTGCTCTCACTACTGTTTTGGTTTTGAACTCACACCTGGACAAAATCCTCTTCACAGGCCATGTTTTCTAATCCAGGGTTAGTAAACTTGAAGAGAGAGAATCTGGGAGGGTGTACGCTGACCCACATTCCCAGCACACGCCAGCGTGTTTGTTTCTCTTATTATTAACAGGGATTTTACAGGCTACAGAACCAGCTGTCCCCTGCTGCGGGGAGAGCGTGGTGACAAGGTCAGAAGCGAGAACACGTGTTTAAAATATACAAACAAACTGCAATATCCAGTCACAAAATCAAAGATGGGAAGAGGTGGGAATGTGGTAAGAAAAGCACAGCCAGGTATTACGAAACA